TGATTTGAAATTGTGTAAAACGGTGGACACAAACCCCTGGTTCAATATCAGTGAGATATAATTTAAGCATAGTGAAATAAGAAGGAAGTACCGTGAAAGTAGGCATGCATCGAACCCGAACTTCCCGGGGTTCGGCCAATCCTGCGGTTCCGTCGTTCCCAGGGTCCAATCGATACTAAGTTTTGGCTCAATCCAAATCTTTCCTTCAATCTTATACAGTTCCAGTAGCATATAGATTTGACTAGAGAATTTCTACCAAAGGTAAATGGAGCCCGAGGAATTCGAATCTACAAATAGATTTTGAAAATTTTGAATCGATTTTTTTGAGAAAATAACCATATTTTATAAAGGTTGACGCAAGTGAATCGGGGTCGAGGAATCCGAATCTGGAGTCAGAGTCTAAAAATTTTGAATTGGATTTTTTCGGTTAGGGGAAGGTTTTTTGACAAAATAAAGATATCTAATAAAGGTAGACGAAAGTGAATCGAAGTAGGAGAATTCAAATCTGCAATTAGATTTTCGAAATTTTGAGTTCGATTTTTCACATGGTTTTCTAAAAAAAACTGATTTTTAAAATAAAGATGTTTTCTTTGAAAAAGAATTTTGTAAAAAAAAAAAAAAAGCAAGATGTTTTTATAAAAAACGAATTTGTGAAAAAATTAACTCAAAATTTTGAAAAACCAATTGCAGATTCGAATTCCAGGATCCCGACTTCTTTTCGTCAACCTTTATTACAAAGCTTTATTTTCGCGAAAAACTCTTCTTCTAACCGAAAAAAATCAATTTAAAAGTTTTCAAAATCTATTTGTAGATTCGAACTTCTCAGCCTCCATTTACCTTTGGTCGAAATTCTCTAGTCAAATCTATATGCTAGTGGAACTGTATAAGATTGAAGGGAAGATTTGTATTGAGCCGAAACTTAGTATCGATTGGATCCCGGGAACGACCGAACCCTGGAATCCCGGTCTGTTCTCGGGTTCGATGCATGCCTATGCGAAAGTACTACGATTTATAAAGAAGTACAACGAGATATAACAGAGCACAAGCGAAGTACAAGGAGGGATAGAGAAGTATAATGGAAGTACGAGGGAAGTACGCACTTCTGACGTCTTGCTCCTTTCCCCTTGGTTCCAACACAAATCTGAAAAGTCACCCAAACGATCGAGATCTGTTTGGAATCTCAACATTTCTTACATAGGTAATAAAGTAACGATATGTACATACAACAGTCATAATCAATTTTTAATCACTGAAATCGATTGTGATTGTTTCATACGTATACTCTTAGTGTATTACACTTTCATGATCTATTACAATCATTTACTAATTTATTCATAGTAGAATCGTCCGAAAGTGTGCAGCATTTTCGAAGTAGTTGAATTCTTGTGTGTTATGCACGCATAACTGTCAAGTACTACGGAAATTATATGAACATTCCAATGTTTGTATCCTGAATAAGTTAGTAAATGATTCTAGTCGATTACTATCAATAATTGTTTGAGATCTCATTGATATGCATTAGGAGGAATTTTTCGAAGCAAACAAAACCAGTGAGAACATTCTGAAATATACATAAAATCAACTCAATTTTATCCTAAGTCTAAATATACAGTTCGATTTGATCAGAAGCATAAATCTCAAAAGGAAAATTAACTACACATGAATCGTAAAATGCGTCTACAATAATACTATCTGACAGATCGTTAAAAGGGACTATGGAACAGCATGTTAACAATAGTGATTTGAATGAGTTATAAGAGAGAAAAATCGATTGCATTGTCGATAACTATCATCTCTTCATGTATCATGAAGACAGCATGGGTACAGGGAGCTGGAAAAATTTTTCGAAAGAAGCAATATTTTGATCATTCACAGGTATATTTGTGTGGTTTCATTTCTTCCTTTGTATCGATAGATTCATAAGATACTATAGTTTAAGTTATTGCTATCTAATGGGCAAATATCTGTGTGTCTGCGTCTTTTTTTCCCTTTTTATTCAAAATTAATGTATTTGAGAAGCCTAAAAGGCTAAACAAGAAGGAAATAAATGACAGACAAACAGTTTTTATTTTACATTGTGACAAAAATATTCTTGTTATACGCATTATCAATTTTCTTACTCATTTCATTATACTTGTATCTTTCTTTTTTCCTTAGTACCCTAAGTTATGATCGATCTTTGTCATCAAAATCCCTTAGATTGCCGTAATAATGGTAAATGTGTTGTAAATATTACGTTAAATACGACTTATTGTCAATGTGCTCTGTGTCATGAAGGATCCTTTTGTGAAATTGATGTTTGGAAACAGTCACAGTTTGATACAACCTATGTCTACTTAATCGTATTTACAGTTGGACTGTGTCTTTCAGTTTTGAATAATGTTCTCACTCTCGAAGTATTCATTGGCTGTAGACGAATTCGCCGCACGAACTGTGGTATCTATTTAATCGTCTATTCCATTGTTTCAGTCATATCAAGCATTGTACTAGAAGCTAATCAAGTTTGGGAGTACTATATAAGTCAATTGAGCAACAGCAATGGGAGTCAGTATCCCGCGTACGACTGCTATTTTAAAAAAATTACTTACAATACGCTTGTCTATGTATGTATGTGGCTTAGCGCATTCGTTGCAGTTGAGCATGGTTTAATTCTATGTTTCGATAGTAAAACAAATGCCACTCGATGGCGATCCTTTGGTAGTATTATATTTATATTTGCAATAGCTGTTGGCTCTACTACACCAATGATAGTGTACAAGTGTGCTTGGGAATATATACCACATTTGCAGACTCTTCGTAGTTTTTTCATTTATTTTTACCCTATTGCAGCGTTTATAATTTATGTACTAGCAATCGTGTTGATCGTAATTGGTTTCGCACGCCGTATACGTCAGTATGGTACAGAGAATGGTTCATTTATAAAAACATTTCTCAAACTATTATATCTTCATTCATTCATTTTTGTACCACTGATTGCTTATATTGTCAGCTATATTCCCTATGCAATTGTCATAAACACGAAGAATCCTAAGCAATCGTATTTTCAATGTGGAATTTCAACTGGGGAATTTATTATAAAGGTCCTAATAGAAACACTGCAAGGAATACCAACTGATATTACATGGTTACTTTTCGTTTATCCATCGAAAGCGTTAATGACCGAGTTTTACATGAATACATGGTCAGGACAACGATTAGCTAAAATTTTAATCTTCTTGAAACTAGATAATAACAGAAAGAGTCCTCCTCCTCTTCCTAATACAAACGTCACAGATTACCAACACATTAATACAGAGTTACACCATACAAATGATTAAATGAGAGACTTTTATTTATTATTGCATACTATACTCGAACAATATTGCTCTATTTTTCTCATCGTAACAATATCAGAGTGACTTGTTTACTTTCAGTTTTTATCTTAAATATTGGTCTTGTACTAACAATTCATTCTAATTGTACACTATTGTATAATAAACGAGAACGAAGTTGCAAGCTTCAGATTCTTGAAGATGAGAGGATGAGTGTTGGATGTAAACAGAAGGTAAAACGGAATTCATAACAATGCCCACACAGCCATATGCATCGAATCATACCGACACTCACAACCAACCTCTTGATAAGTATTTATTTTCCTGTATATACATAATGGTTTTATAAATGACTAGACGATAAAAAAATCAATATATTTCGTTTTCTGTAATCAAGCGTAGACGTGTACGGCTGTAGAGACGACACCCACACTCTAACAATTCTCCTTATTGTGAGTCTTATAACTCAAGAAAGAAAGAAGTTTATGACTCGACAAAGCTATCATCTATGTTGCCTTTTGATGAAATTATTCACGCTATAAATTTCATTGAGATTCATCTCAAATATTCAAAAACTAAAAACATGTAACATTTATTCTAGATTTATCAGGTCATAAGCTTCTTTCTTCTTCAGCTATAAAACTCATAGTGAGACGGACTATCACACATCATAATTCCTCTTTCACTCAAGCCAACAATATCGGCACGTTCTCGATGATCTAAATTTCTAAGATAGTATATTTCATATGTCTTACTGTAAGAATGACTGAGAGCGCCAGATGAGATATGGTTAATTATTAGTATATTTCTACATCCAAGGTAATAGTACTTGTACCACAAAGTATTCACTGACGTTTTGCTTGTGAATAAAAACTTTCACTGAGAATAAAATCATTTCGACTGATTGAAGCTGGGTGAAGACATTGAATGCTTTTATCGAGACGCTGCATGATATTAAACCAAATCCTTTTAATACAATATTAAATTTTTACTTTATTTGACTTTGGATGAACGAACGGATAGGAAATGATATTCTTCAATCAAAAATAGAACTCATGGCCAAGACTAGTAAACATGACTAGTGCTCTAACCATTAAGCTGTTGAAGTATGGCGAACACATTCTTCTCTCTGAATGATATTTAATCCTCGAAATTATTTTTACGTCAACACAATGTATGCGACATACTTGAATAAGGCGAAGCTATTTTTAACCAAGAATAGATGACGATGATTTTTCTTTACCTATCGATGGTGAATTATTAATAGACATATTTATTCTTTTCCTTGATCGCTTAAAAAATATTTTTCTTTTTCTTTTTTATAAAAATTTTTGTGATACTTCGTTGCCGTAAGGAACCTCTTCAGGCAAAATTGCAATAAATTTACAATACATAACATCGAAAATGATTAAGCCGCATTCACAAACTACACTTACATCCTCTAAATTTTATTATTTTCAGCTGATATTAATATAAATGATTTGTCTTGTTTATTAAACTATGTCGAATCATCAACAAAGTAGATTGAATTGTAGATTACATCCAAATAGGACATTTTCTTTTATTATTAGAAACGACTACAAGACAATGCTGAGTTTTAATAGGTGTAATGTAAAGAAATAGATATACATGTATAAGATTAAATGATTTTGTTATTGTTTTTTCTACAACGTTACATAAGTACAATGTTTAAAGCATGTTTAACTTGTCAAAATTTCGATAAATAATTCGATTATTGACTGGTTGTATTGGTCTACAAGATTCTCGCATAACATTATTACGAAGTAAATTCAAACTGTGTTCTGTAATTGGTATTACATTCAAAAATATTGTCCATATGACACCTTCGGTACAGGGAGGTGTTGTTAAACTGCCAATGTAACGAACAAATTTTTTATTTTCAATTTGCATAAGATTACTTAAATTGAATGTACATTCATATGTGTCACCATTATTTTTCAAAAGACTTGTTGCGTCAGTATACTTTTTCCATTCTGTATTTTCATCATCAAATCGACCAGATACATCCAAAATGAATGCAAATATTGCCATTTCTTGATTTTCTAAATTCTTATAAATGAAATGTGCTTCAGCTGGAAAACGATATCCATTAATTTCATGTTCGGAACCATGTCTCTCATTCTTACCCCAGTGTAAATGAAAATTGACAAAATGAAACGTACCAGTTAGCCCACCACCTGTAACCCATAGAGATGCTGCTTCTTTACTATGATTTTTTTCAGCCAATGTAACAGTAAGCTTATGACCAAGGTTTTTCAATGTAAATAAATGTCGATTCTTAGACTTGGAAGAAAATATAAATGGTGTATAATTTTGCATAACAGTTTGACTTAATTTGATATTAATAGGCGACTGAAAATAGCCTTTAGCAGATGGAAATCGTTCGTGCCATTTGGATGGATCATTAGAGTCCCAATCCTCATCAAATTCATCAAGACAAGACATGAAGATAAGAATGTTGAGTACTTGTTAAAGGTTATAAGACAGACAGCCAAGTTGCAAATGAAAAATAAGCCGTACTCTAATAGATGAAGAGTAATGAGAAGAAGTACGCTCTTTTTTTTCTTTTTCTATTCTGTTACTGCTTTTTTTGCAGTGTTGCAATATATTATAAATACTAGAATGAGGAAGAATGAATTTATTTCATCGTGTACTGGCATGCATGAAAGCTTAGAGAATAGAAGAGAAAAATATTGTTTAGTCTCCTTATTAGTTTCGAAGTGATTATAACTTTGCTTCACTTGTCTATCACATAAAATGCCATCAATTATTTAAAGTGTATAGTTATCATATCTAATTTGATATTTGATTACTAAAGTTTTTCTCTTTCTATTGCTCAAAAGTTTTATTCAGTAACCTGACGTCAATTATGTCGATGATATCAAACTACTCAGTGATAAAATGACATAGAGAATAAAAAAACAAGTACATTTTAACACACACATTTCCTATATTCTATTGATAGTGGAATGAACGACCGAAAATCCAAACATGATCATGTCTACTAGGACTAACATCTTTTTTTTTTTTTATTGTAAACATGAATGTAGATGAAATTCTGAATGTGTCGGTGTGTGTGTGACTTGTTTTTCTTCCCATCCTTGCCGTCGGAACCTTAAAAATTAATTTAATTATTTAGTTTTCTTGTCGAATGTGCCCAGAGGTCAGACACACAATCGAAAAGTTTTTTCACAACTTCAACTACATTCTCACTCAAAGAAAACTCATGGCGAAGACAAAGTTTATAGTATTGTCGAATAATGAATTTCGACAATGATGTTTTTTTTTAAGATCCATAGGAATTCATCTAACTGCTTCTATGCTTAATCTTTACTGAAATGAATAGATATTCAAGCCAAAGAATGTTTAGGATATGATCAGCACCTAGTGATAAGGTCAATAACTCTTCTATATCATTAGAGCATCTGTGCAACGGAACAACACAAATAGAACTATATATTTTCTCAATATCCTTTATCTTTAATGTTTCCTATATGTTTAATCAAGTATACAAGAACGGAATTCATTTTCTGGAAAATCCATAGACAGTATCTAATCGATTGTTCAATCGAATGTGCTCAAATCCGGATTATTAATGCAATCGGTTCTGCTCGAAAGAATCAATGCCATTCATATTTATATGATCTCAATCGTCGTTGTTTTTTTGTGAAATTCGATAAAAAAAAAACCAGTAGAGAATGCATTTGTAGTATAATAATAAAAAAACTATGAATGATCTATTTACTTTTTTAATAAGGAAATCAAATACTATATAAAGATTTGATCATACGGAAGAGGATGACTTACACTAAGCGCCACCTTGGATGCACTTTTTTAAAACCAATTGTAAAGCTTATTTTACATTTAATGTAAGTATTTAATTGAGACTTCAACCAAAAATTCAAAGAAAAAGTTACTAATAACTGAAAGCCACGATGTTCATATTGTTATAGTCGGTGTATTCTCCTTAACAGATTGGTTAGATCTATATGTCATCAAAATCGCCTTAGTTTTGATGATTAATCTGATTGATCCGTGTTTATTTTGAATACCCGCGAAATGGAGATGAATGTGTGATTACTTCGAACGCGTAGGTGTGAACATTGATGTGAATGAAAAACATGAAGTCTAATACACATACATTCACACCAGACCCATACTCAATTGCATCAATGGTCTCTGAAGTTTTACTTTGAATGGTCTAGGCAAGTAAGTTTCGTTCGTTACTACAAAAACCAGCAGCAACACTAGTACATTAAGCGTAGGTGGGATTCTGGTTTCACTCATACTGACACACTTCACTCAGTTTAATATATCCAAAATATTGATTTGGAAGACTATGGTATCACACCATTTCATATCTTGAGGTTCTTTGAAAGGATATATTGCGAGGTGAGCTTTTATATAAAAATATACCGTGAAACTAGAGGACTACTGAATGCACTTGGAATTACTTCTGATTCTCTCAATACTTATATACAAAGGAGCTTAGTTTCAAATACGTGTGTGTTATCAAGTTCATACGTTAGTTTGGCATATTTATATGATCAATTTATGATTGAGGAAATCCTCAAATCTTGTATCAACTTACTTGTCAATTAAAATTTTTTGCATATTATATATGATTGTGATGGATTCAGTGTGAAAAAGTCCTATAGGCTGAATTAGGTTTTTATGTGCTCTTGTTCTTTCCATCGTAGCATCATAATCTATCAAAAATAAAAACTAGAAACTTATAGATAATTCTCAAGAATTTTTGATGAATTCCAAAATTTCACTGAGTATATCACATCAACATACATAACTATTCAAATGATAAAAGTAAGGTCCTATTCCATAAGTTAGTGGAAATTATCAAGCAATTTTCTAGTAATCTCCAAAACTTCCATTGATTCATGAGGTGAGATCTTCTCTTCATCAACTGAATAGTTATAAATATTCATAGACTTAGGTCATTCAAAAAGTTCTGAAAAACTTTAAAAATTTTGTTCATGAACAAATCATTCCATTGATTTTTCTACAGAACATATTTTCGTGGTAGTTGTCATGATGTTTCATACAAAATATCATCCTTTCAAATTATTATTGATTGAAATGAATTTGTTGAACAATAACTAAAAGAAATTTTGCAACATACGATTGAATTGTTGGATTAACAATTCACAAATTATAACAAATATACTCTTGATAGTGAAGTCAATTATTTTACTTTTATGTATAGTTACAACACTAAAATATAGTTTTATAGATAAATCAAAAACTATAACTCTCATATAGATATAAGTTTTGCTTTTTAATTAAACGAATTTTAGAGTACATAGAATATCAATTTGAATCCATTTTTCAGGCATTTCATATATGCTTATAGTTTATTTCACTTCTGGAATATTTGTTTTTTGATAATATAATTGCATTATATAAAAAAAAATTCATACTAATATTTATTCAATATATCACATTTTTTACTATAAAACATGTAGCAATTTTTTTAACAATTATTACTGAAAAACTTCCAATTTAGTTTTACAAATTACAATCTTATTTAATAACAGTATATCAAGAATATTTTATACAATTTTCTATTTCCATCATCATATGATCAATTAATTAGAATGATTTGGCATAAAACAAGCAATAGGACTCCATCGTCGTAGAATTTTCCACCAATGTGATGTTTGTCGACATCGAATTAAATGATTTTCAAGATTTTCTCGACGTCCTTTCCATCCACATTTATTAGTACATGGAACTATTTGTTTTACACATGTATAAGCAATATGATCAGCAAAATTACCTCGTCTAATATTAGTTTGTTGACATAATGAACATTGAACTAGTAAATGATTGAGTTGATTAAATACAATACGAGTAATAACAGGTACAAATTGAGATCCATCTTGTCGACAAAATGGACATGATAATTGTTGTTTTCTACATAGATTAAAACATTTTTGACAAATTGTTTGACCACATTTAGTACAATTGACAGGTAATTGAAGAGGTTTATTACAGATTATACATTTAAGTTCAAGATCAATTTGATCTTCATTTATGTATGTATAAATTGACATTAAAAAAAAAAATACTTTTTTTTTTTATTTAATTTTTGTTTGAAATTACTTTGACTGATTTTACTGTATGGATGGTTAATAATATACTTTTTTTTTTTAAAAAATACTATTGACAAAGTGACATCAAGGGAAGAAAAAGAAACTTGAACTACTATCGAATGAGTTACGAAACGCACATGAAGAACTTTGTATTTTTTTTTTTTTTTACTTTTCTGCATCATCATAATTTTCGTTGTTTCATTCAGTGTAATGTCGAAAGTGTCGTTTGTTGTGTTTTTGCCAAGAAAAAAAATGATTCATCATAGTTATAAATCTTTGTGTAGTGATGATTCGTATCGTGGGTTGTTCTTTAAATATGACTGTATATACAGTATTGATGAAGGTTAAATTTATGCAACAAAAAAAACAAAATTTTTCTTTATTCTATTTCATTTATTATCTTAACAATAGTAATTAATGGTGAAGATAAATGAGAAAATATGGAAGAAAAAAAAACGAATCTACTTGATTAATGTAATAGTTATGTAAGAATACAAAATTATTACTAATTTATATATGATTCATCGATTAAAATTATAGTAATAAATCATTAATTCAATTTTAAACCAGTGAGTTCGAACACAAGACTTACAAAAAAATAATAATCAGAAAGCTTTTTTTTTTTATTCATGATCTGCATCGACAAGTTGATTAAAAAAAAACAGAGACAACCTTATTTTACTGAATAATTTTGCATCTATAAGTATTGATTAAGAAGAATTTTTTTTTTAATTTATTGATAGTGCTTTCAATTTCATTTGCTTCTTTGAATAAACTAGCATAAGTCATTTTGAAATGAAAAATAAATTAAACATCAACAAGTAATTATATAGAAACATCTATTAGATTGAAAATCGTAGAAGTTCGAGTAATCAATATTTTGAACATCGAATATACAGTGATTGGCAAAAGTATAATTTCGTTTAGACTACATAGCAAACAATTTCATGTGAAAGTTGACATCTTTTTTGACTGAAACAAATCATGCGAAAAATGCTGTAAAAATTTGTTGAATCATAATCTGATAATCATTTCGTATAAGTAATAAAATATAGAAGAAAATCAATTCTATCTCCATCCATATCCGAGTATTAATATGTTGCAGTAGAGTTCTGCCGAGACATACCTTTTAATTCTGAGAAACTTCGAAATTTTTTTTTTTTTGTTTGACTATTCTATATACGTCTTCTTGTGTTATTTGTTTATGAAAATGTCGCTCTGATGTTTTCTTTTTCTCTTGAAACTTATATATGAATCTATAAAGTTCATTATTATTGATGAAATTCCGATATCAAATTCGATGAAATTGGAGTTTTCTAGATTGCGTTTTTTCATACAATATTATCAACTATATTATGATTTGACTCTTATACGTCCAGTCATATCTTTCCTCTTATCATCATCACAAATGATGATTACGTTATATGACATACTAAGTTATGTCGATTCTTCTGCAGTTTAGTCACACTCTTACATTGATTAATACACTGGACATAGCAATCCGTGTGTGGGTGAGGGCAAGATCGTGACTAAACTTCAGTAGTACCGTAATAAAAAAGCTAATCGAATGAAGAATAAGCCAGTGTGTCAGTGTAAGTGTAAAACGAAAACAAAAAAAAAAGCAATCAAAGTTTTATGCATTCGTTTCTTTGCTAAACAAAATAATTGTTCTTTTTTCTTTATTCTTTCCCTATAATACAAAACTATCAATCATAATCTTGTGCTTGTTTTTTTTTCTAAATGACTACAAAAAACATCAATAGTTAAAAGTACGTCACATATAAAATAGACAACGAAACGATTGATGATTTATTCATTTTTCTTTTTTCTTTAGATAAAAACAGACGAATAATGACAAATATATTTTCTCAAGTACATCTTTATTTTATTCGTCATGGAGAATCCGAAGCTAATACTCAAAGTATTTATATATGTGGTCAAAGTATTTCATGTCCATTATCGTCATTAGGAAAAGAACAATCTATTCTATTAGGTAAACGATTAAAATATGAAAATATGAATTTTGATTATTATCTATGTTCAACTGCTATTCGTGCAAAACAAACAGCAAATATTGTTTTAGAAACAATGAATATTGATCAATCAAAATTAATTCTATCAAATGCACTTTTAGAACAATCTCAAGGTTCATGGGAAGGAATGAATCGTTTTGAATGTTATACAAATAATATTATGAAAAAAATGGAAGAATTACATATAGAATTTAGTCCACCTAATGGTGAATCAATACGAATGGTACAAAAACGTGCTATTACATTTTTAGAATTATATATTGAACAAGCTAAAAAACAAAGTATAGAAGAAAATCGAACAATATCAATTATTATTTTTACACATGCTAATTTAATACGATCTGTATTACAATATTATTTAGAAAGTAATCCAAAATATACATGGCTTATTGGACAAAATAATACAGCAATTAGTGAAATTCTTTTTAATCAATATGGAACATCATTAATTAAAGTTAATGATAGTGGTCATTTAAAATTTTTATTGCCAGAATCATTAGAAAAAGAAACTGATATAATTATGAAATGAAATAAATAAAGCAAATATTTTTATTTTGTTAAGAATATTCTCAAGGTTTATTCATACTTATATAAGTTTTTGATGATAAGAATTGATTGTATACATAAGACTTCTTTAGAAGAAAAACCAACTATAGTTATCAGTAGTAATAAAAAAAAAAGTGCAAAAAATAAGTATTTTTCATATTAAATATGTACTAATCTGATAAATAATACAGATAGAACAACTTGTTAAAAGTTAATGACATATTTTCTACAAATAAATTACGTATATGAAAATTATATTAGTCGTTTCATCGCATCAAAATGTAGTATATTTGAATGAATAGACTCTTTCTATTATCTTGTAGCTGTTTAATGATTATCAAGTTTTAATTAGCGATGGCACTTTCTCGAAGAAAATATTAATTACTTAAATTTAATTTTAAGTGTTAAGTAATAAAACTTAACTTTATTTTACCTATAAGTTAAATGGTTCAGAATGCGAGAGTCGTGTTAGTACACTCACATCCTATTTCGATAAGATCCTATAAAATGCAACTGCAGTTATTGCATATATTTCTATTTCTTACATTCAATTACATCAAATTTATTTAACTTTGACTCTTTCTGTTTAGTATTAATTATAGATAAACAAGATTTTTCTCTTTATTAAAGGAATGGTCATTCAATAAGTCAAATACAGGTATAGACTTCTTCCTTCATGATTTATTCTCATGAAAACATAATCACTTATGAGGATTAAACAATTTTCATTTCTTTATTTTATTACAAGAACACAACATGAAACATTCAGAAATATTCTGACTAAAGATCAATTTTATTTTTCAGAACATAATTTTTGTCCACAACAACCTAATGGATGGCCTTTTGGATAGATACTTTCACATGTGATGAGCACTGGTTGTTTTATAGTTGCTTGATCAATACAACAGGTAGTATTATTTGATGGACAACATTTGACTTTGTTACAATTAATTAAACCATCACCATTTGGACATGAAAGAAACATTGAAGGTGTGGGTGTGGGGCGTGAGTGCGGGTGGCAGTTTGGATATAACGCAAGATCCCAACTAACGCCCCACACCCTAATTTTCATATTATTGACACATGATTTCATCATATAACTATTTAGTTAAACTTTGTAACGAGCAAAGATTTATAAATAGAAATAATCTTTGAAAATAAAGACAAATTGCAAACTATCTTGGTTAATCTATGATTAGTTAGTAATCAACAACTTTTACATTTAAAAATATTTTGAAAAAATGATTCTCTATTGCTAGGAATTTAAAAAAATAGAATGTACATCAAACGCTAAAAAGTTAAAAGAAGGGATTTCAATCGTTGAAAAACTCATTCTTTCTGAGACCTTGTTTGTCTTATTATCCGATTTCATTCTGATTTGTTAAATTTATTATCCATATAGGAAATCAACCTAACTTAAAACTCAATGAATTTCATGTTGACGAGCATAACCGATATACTCACACGTTAAAGTTAAATGTGTGCCAATCTGCTTATAAATTAAGTTAAGGCAGAGACGAACATCCTATAAATAAATATATGTCTGATTACATCTTGCCTAATTAAACATTCCGTTTTGGTATTCTCAACTTTATTTTATTGCTCTTAGGTAAGTGTTCAGAGATGAAGAAATGTTACTCTTACCTAACAGGCTCGGAACGACCGCGCCACCGGTGACGAAGACTTTTGGCGTTGTATGCCATCGCTGCCCACGCTTCGTATTTTAGGTGCAGTACACCTCTCTTGTGAGAGACATATTTATGTTGTTTTTAGATAAAATAATAAGAAGTTTGGATAATATTAATGTTAAAGGCAATTTTCTTGTCGCCGACAATTGTTCTGTTGAAGTTTGTTTTCGGTTAAAGAAAATTCTGGTAACAGAAATAATCGGTGATGTCTAATCAGTTTATTTCTCAGCATTAGTAATATAGAAAAAGTGTCATTTGAAGGAAATGGAAATTTAATTATCATGATAAAAATCATCAAATAATTCCACTATTTAATGATGAGAAAAGAACGAATATGAAAATGCTTTCTTGACTGACGCGTTACACTATTCTGTTATTGCATTGACTCTGGTAGTATCGCTAAAAAACAATCGAAAAAAATATTTTAATCATTATTAAGAACATCTGTTTTTATTTGATCTTAGACATTTTTTTGTACAGACTTTTCTTCATGGATTTGAATTAATAGGTTTTCCTTAGTTTTGATATTTCTTTAGTAAATGTTCGATTATGATTCATTGTTGATAAAATATTTTTGTCTGATTCTTTATTATTCATGTTTATAAATGAAATTTCTGAACTAAAGATAAAATTATATTATGCTCTATCAAAAAAGAATTTGACTATGACTTTAACAATGATTCAAAATTAGTATTTTTCAATGGGACATCTATTGAACCGATGGAGGATACAATCGAAAAAGAGAAATCTTGATGATCATCAGTCATTCTTTTTTCATTAGAACACAAAAAATGATGTTTTTCTTGCTTGTTGAATAGACGATGGTCAGTTCATCGATATATATGCCTTTGAATTTTATTCGTTGATTAATATAAGAAGCCGTTTTTTTTTGTTCCTGCTATATATATTGCTAAATGTATAGAAAGATCATAGATGAAAAATAAGAAATCAAAAAATAAAAGAGAATGAAAGTTTTTCGTAAAAAATATTTGTTATTGAGGTGAAATCTTCATCCACATTCCATACTTTGGTTTAGAAGAATCGTGCCTCAATCATAATCATATAAATTCATTTTCTTTTTAAGTCTTTGTTTTCACCAAGATAGACAGCCGTCAGAAACTTGAAATATTCAGCATAACTCACTTTATCATCTGCATTGTGATCCATTTGTTTTAGAGAATGATCAAGTATTACATCTAGTGCCGCTACATTTGCTTTTTTCAAACATTCTTTGAATTCATTTCTGCTTATATATCCATTTTTGTTTTGATCAAATTCACGAAAGGAACGATTAATTTCCATCATGTACTCTTGTATGAGTTCTCTTGTAGCACTCATTGTAATATATCTGATTGGCAAAAGGGAAGAAAGCAACATATTTAGCACCACAACTATAGATTTGATAATTACTCACTTGAATTGAATTTAATGTTAGTAAAATAATGTTGTTGTTTTTCTTCTTCGTATAGCTATGACATTCTGTTTGCTTCATTTACTTATCATTTTATATTTCGCATGCTTGTTTTTTTATGCGTGGCATGTAATCATGTTTAGAAAAAAAAAACCAAGACGCTCCGATGTTCGTATGTGTCGATCGATACTGTAATAAGGTGTAATTTAACGATTTTCTTGAGATTTTTGGTGATTATATTATAGAAATATCCGAAGATCTCTTTTCGTCTGACAATCCAAGTCAATCATTATTATTGATAATCTTTTGCATTATACACTTCGAATCTATTCGATCTTCTCAGATATGAAAAAACAAAGTACCAGCACCCATTATTTGGTTTCTAACTCATGTGTTTTTTCCTTGATAACCATTCTTATTTAAACTGACACTAGGTGATAGAAGATAAAATTCTGTACTTAACTCAATTACTCAGAAAACCAACACCAGTCGTAGAGTGAATTGAGACAAAAAAAATATTCTGACTTTGTTTATGACAATGTAATAGTAACTTCTCTTCTCTAGTATGTTTACTAATCAAATTGAACTACTTCAGTACAATAATCAGTTGATACACTCAAGAAGGAAAACTAAAGCTCATAATTAAAAAGATTTGGTCTTTACATATGTCTACGTTTATTTTCTAACATGAATAAAATATTTGAATGAATTTGTTTTTGAAAAATTTCTTTCCATTCAACAGTTATTGTTAGCAGTGATTCCATTTCTGTCTATTCTTGAACTTCTTTCTCACTTCTTCTCTCTACTGTATTGTTATTGTATTTCTTCTTCTTTTTTTTATTTTGCTCTTAAATGTAACACTCGGAAGTGCTTACATGATAATATAAGGAAAAATTAAGGTATTTAAGCACTAAGCAACAACATAAATGCAGTGAGCTTTATCGCCGTCACCAATATCTCTATATCGAGTATTAGTTTAGCTGATATGGGAGTAAAGAGAGTATATAAAGAAACAGAAGAAGGAATCAAGAAGAGAGAAAAAAAGAGAAGGGATTAAACGAAAAGGAAAAGGTACAAAAAAAAGAACGCGTCAAAAAGGTAGGTGAAGCAAGAGGGGAGTAAGAAGAGAAGAGAAAAAGAAAATGAAAGAGTATGTACGTATGCATTTCAAGGCCAGAAAAAAAAAAGAAAAAGGAAAAAAAGAAAGGGAGTGAGGTCTAAAGATATTGGATGTCCTATTCTTGGTATACCATTAGTTTATTTCAATCAATGATGTCCATTTAAAAGAAGCAATTCATACTTTTCTATTAATCGTTTTACTTGATTACTATAAAAAAAACTGGCTAAGATGATTCTTCTTTCTTTTATGAAATTTATTCCAAATAAAAATATTATTATAGACGAGTGAACGACCAAGATCCGTTGTGTCCATACTTGTTGTGGGAGAACAATATCATTCCAAACATGCCTTCAATTTATCTGTTTCATAGTTGTATTCTGTTGTTGTTTTTGATTGGTTTAATCAATCGATATAGTTAGATAAATATCGATTGATTATTGATTATTAATCGTTTTTTAGAGCGATCGTTGATTATCGTCGACAATCGTTATAACCGCCGATTATCGTACTTTCCGTTATAGGTTTTTTCGTTTTGTTCATATTCTGATATTTATTCTATTTCAAATAAATACACAGATAAAAAATCCTAACATTGGTACCGTGAACCGCGGGTGTGAGTGAATGTAGGTGTTGATGTTCAATTTATCAACATCCACAGCCCAAATGATTATTTTAAGTTAAAGTTCATATTTATTTAGTCAGTAGATTCAATAATCTGCTATATTTTACAACATAACGGGTGGTCAAGAACAAATGGTGAACTCCGTGTTTGGTTCAGATCTCAGTCATGTTTCATAGCTTACGTTTAACTTTTCTATGAAAAAATTCGCCATGTAATTCTGCACAAAACAATAGGTTCCTTCGTCTTTAAACAACAACTTGATTAAAAATCACCATTATACAATTTTCAAAACCTTCTCTTTTTTTCGTTTTTTTACCGAAAATATTCAATTCCTGAATTATTTCAGATGTTTTTGATATAAGACATTCTTCACTGAAGTAATCAATTAAATTCACTTGACTCTGTTGGTTGAAATGCACTAGTTTATCTTTTCAGTCACTAGCGCATCACGTCAAAAACATCAGAATTAATTCAGGAATTGAATAGGTTCGGTAAACAATGAAAAAAATTATGGTTTTTTATCATGTTGTTGTCTAAAGATGAAGGGCTCAGTAGTTTTCGAATAAAACTTATCATTTTGTGCAGAATTATATGGCGAATCTTTTGATACACAAATCTAAGTAAGCTATCAAAGATAACGGAGATATAAACCAAACACTGATGCCACCATTTATTTTCGACTATCTATTAATTCAGCATTTTTTTTTTTATTGTGAATGAGAGCGAGGATATAGCAATGAATAGTGTGTACAAGTATCGACATATTTTGTCGGATAATAGTTTGCTTTAAATATAATGTTTTTTTCATCAGGTGACACAAAAGATGTAAAGAAAAGGACATAAAATAATCAATGATTCATTGTTGTACAATTTAATATTACAATTTCATCTTTCATTTGGAATTTTTCATGTTTGTATTTTTCTTTTAGATATGAAATCAAATCAATCATTTGTTTGTCATTAATTTTGTCACGTGAGAATGTTGACCATATTCTCTTTTGTATAATATTAATCCAATCGTCAAATGTTACACTGTCATCGAATGTATACTGATATATATGATACTAAATATTTTTGAACCCACTCATTTCTAATTCTTGCACATAATTATCAATAGAAGGTAATATTGACATACGTATCTCATTTGTACTCTTATCCAATGGTAAGATTTCTTTTGGTGTACGTGTAACAATGACAAATTTGTTATCATCAGAATTCAACTGTTGACGAAAACCTTTGAAAGCTAATAATCTTTCATTATGCGATAATAGATGAACACAATGCTTTAATAAAAGACGATTATACGCTGGTAATTGTTTCTGTTGACTGAATGTAACTGCATTCATAGAAAATGTTTGAACAATATTGATTAAATTTCGTTTTCTTATCTCAATGTTAAAGATTTCAATCGTGCTTGACGATACATCCCCAGGTCGAAAAGTACCGGCCGGTTCCCGCAGGAAAACACCGGAAATAGCCGGAACATGGAAGCAGTATTCCGACCGGAAATTTTCGGAATTTTTTCCGCTGATTTTCCGCTCGGTTCCTGCCGGAAAACACAGGAAATTGGCCGGAATTCACCGGTAAAAATCCGGAGAATTTCCGGCCGGACTACTGCTTCCATGTTCCGGCTATTTCCGGTGTTTTCCTGCAGGATACGGTGATTTTTCCCGCATTTTCCTGCCGGTTCCTGCAATATCCGGTGGCCGGAACGATCGACCTGGGTCACACCCAATAATCTTAATGTCATTATTCATTTTATTTAAGAATAATAGACTATCAATTCCTGATCCACAGCCAACATCAGTTAAAATATGATCACGTTTGAGATCTAATACATCCAATATTATTGTATTTAACCATTGTACATGAGAAACTGAAACAGCGGTCTGCATGATAATCGGATGCAACATTTATAAAATGTTCGGGTAAAGCATACAAACTTTGGTCTGGATCAGTAGAGATCACTTTTTATTTTAGTATTCAAACAACAATACTTGTAGAATTTCCTCAATATCAAGTTTTGCAAATAGAATTCTGATCTTAATGAAGAAGAAAAAAAAGAAGATGAATTTCATAATATAGTTTAGAGAAATGAGCAAAAAACAAAGAGATATGAAAATCTTGACATCATATTGTGTTTTGCTGAAGAGAAAGTTGCTTTTATGGCATGGTTCTCGATTGGAACGTTTAAAGTGAGATAGTTTCAAATCTACTCGATAGATAATAATCGTCAATTTTCGTTTCATTCTCAAAAATCGATAGTTAAAAGAAGTTTCAGTACTGTATATGTTCCGACACACATTTTCTTTATAACTGATTTCAATAGTGAAAATGGTTGTGACGATTTCTGATAGAAGGGATGTTAGTGTGAATGAAGATACACTTTATTCTAATCCTTCATATCGTACAATCGTGTCGTTTACAGACAAAACACACGTTTATATACGCAACCAGAAGAAAATATAATAAGAGAATGGAAGAAAAGAAGGATAAATCAGGGCAAGGACGGTAAGATAGGGACAGAAAGTAAGGACAATTCATTTTGGATGAGAACAAATGGTAAGGGAAGGTTAAATGTTATGTATGAACAGTCAATTCAAACAAGCAATGAGAGTAAATAATAATGGCATACATGAAATGCAATCGGGAACGTCACAAGGGTGTGGATGCGAATGTGGGGTGGGGGTGTGGGTGACCATGTGGAACAATGAAAGAGCATCACCAGATCCACACCTACACCCACCCACCCTATGTATTGATAATTCAAAGCTAGTAGAAATTTGTTAATAATTCAAACTGATTTATATGTTCTTCTTTGTCTCTAATCACGATAGGATGTTAAATGTCCTAAATGTTGAAGTAACATTACGATAACGAAATTTGCTTTGATTGACATGAGTTATGCAGAACAGTGACAGTGAATATTGCGAAAGTTCTTCTTTTAGCTTAGGAAAAATATTTGAAAAGTGTAACGACAAATTCTACATAAATATATCAACTTCAGCATTAAGTTAACGCTTTACAGCCTTCTAGGCTAAGATTAAAGTGTAGTATCTCTTCTCGTCGGTTTGAAAGCTGGCGCTGGTTGAAGAAACCAGGCTCTATCGAACGGATTTTTGGCATATGACCGGGACCATTTAAGAATAGTGGAACCGTATTATAGATCGACTCGACACTGCAGTGTCATCGAGTCTGGTCCACTTCTGTTTCCTTTGGAAAACAGGAATCTTAATACCATTCAAAAAGTAAAATGAAAATTTTTTTCACTTGCTGATGGTTTTTTCTGTCGAAAACGGCGTAAAAAGCAAATTTTTCTGCTTTTTTTGTGTATTTACACGAGTCTCCAAAAATTTTTGCAATTTGTGTTGTTTATTCTTTACCATCATTTTGATTATCATAATGTTAAAATTTTATTCTTATTTATAATAATTAGGCGGATGCTTCTTTTAAATTTTCTATCCCTATTATGACGATTATGTGACAAAGATTGTTGAGTGATTTTAACATTTTCAATTGATGATTTTTTGGATTAATAGAGAAATGCTAAAGAGTTGAATTTGTAGATTCTTGATAAGATAAAACTATGATTAGATGAATGGAATACGCAAGTACCACCCGAAAGAGATATGACGGGTAAAATATCAAAACTAATTTCAATTGCAGTAATCATACAATCTTCGATAATTCTTGAAAATTAGAAGTGTGCGTTTATGAGTTCTGTTGGTACACGTACACTTTATTAGATGTTTAAGAAAGTTGATTTATATTCTTAGAAACAATCAAATTCATTCAGTGTCGTAATAATATCTTTCTTGATAGAATCAAGAGAAAGAACACCTATAGTATCCGTCGTTTTTCAATCATCAATGTTTCAATACAATGATCAATTCATATTAATTACAATTCTGATTGTTAAACAATTTTTCTATCATAAAACTTCTTCAAAATCTATATTGAATGAAGTTTAGCAAAAAACAAACAACAATCATTAATGACATTAACAATTTTTGTTTTTTTTTTGTTCTTGAAATAGATGACAATTTCATCAATGATACTTTACAGTTATTATATTTTAATTATTCGGTAGAATTTTAACGCAATCATTCTTTCGACGTAATGCTAATAGAATTTTCCATGGAAGAGGAGCTTGATTAGAATCAACAATAACTTTATGTTTTTTATTTGTTCGTTCATGAAATAATTCAATTTGTTTATTTTCACAATCAATTATTAATTGAATTATATCATTAGTTTTTATTTCATCATTTTTTGAACCTTGAATTTTAGTATTTCTAATACATCTTCCATGTTGCCATACTTCAGTTGTATTAAACCAACCGACAACAACAGTTAAATGATACATTATTTGTCGTAAATTAATATCAGATGAACAAATACCAATAAAAGTATTATAAGATCCTGTACTTTGTTCAATTTTAAATTTTAATGTATGATAACCATTTATATAAGATTTTTGACCACGAAAATAAATAAATTTATGATCACTATCAATATGTTTGATACAAAGACCATCATTTTCAATTATTGCTAAACCATTTCCTTCAATAAATCTATCTTCAATTTTTCTTAATGTTGATGATAATAATTCTTTATTTCTAATAGTTTTATTTATAGTATTATTTTGTTTTATTTCAATAAGATAAATAGGAGAATTATGATCTTCTATAATATGTAACATAGATAATGATTTTATTTGTAATTTAAGTTCATTTAATTGTTCTGTCCATTTTTTTAAATCAATTTCTGAAAAATTTTCAGCTTCTCGTGCATAAAGAAGTTTTGATGCAATATTTCGACATGTTTTTAATATTTCATTATTTGAACATTCAAAAATTTCTTTTAAATCAATACGAATTTTATCAGCTGTTATTTGAATTTTTCTTATAGATTCTTTTTCCCATTTATCAATTTCTTTTAATAATAAATCATTATCTATTGTTAATCGTATATCTTGTTGAATTAAATCATGTTCTTGCATTATATTTTCTAATTCAATATTAAGTTGTTGTCGATGTTCAATAACATGTTTACCACAAAAAGTTTGTTGACATCCATCACAAATTAATATACCACCAATTTTATTACATAAAACACATTGTTTTTGTCCAAATGAATTTGAACTCATAATAAATATCTAGAAAAATGATGAAAATTTAAAATTAAAAAAATTTTCCATTTATTGTTCGAATGTTAAAAAAAAAATTCAATATTAAATTGAATAGTTTTGTTTTTTTTTTTAGAAAAGAATTATTGCATAGGACATTCGATACGAATTTCATTACCAGCATTTTTATCAACTTTAACTCCTGGTACATTTTCTGAATTATCAAGAAATTCCGATGGAAATTTTTTTCGAATAAATTCAGTTGCTGGTGGATGAAATTTTTGATAGAAAGCAATAAATATTTCATTTTTATCTTCAGTTGATAAATTTATATAACTTGGATGTTTTTTAAGTATTATTTCATTAAAACCAGTTATATATAAATCAAGAGTTTTTTCAATTTCTATTGCTGTTGGACGTCGTTTTGGATCATCAGCAGTACATCGAGCAATTAAATCAGAAAATATTGGACTTTCTTCTTGAAAAACAATTTTATTATTTGCTAACATTTGAAATATATGTTTTTTTGATGTAAAAAGTTCATTTAATGTTAAACCAAATGTAAATATATCAAGTTTTTGATCATATGTACCACGATAAAATTCTGGTGGCATATATGGTGCACATCCTATTTGTGTATGTTGATTTAAAGGATCAGCAACACGTGCTATACCCATATCACCAATTTTAGCAATATAATTTTCATTAACAAGTATATTATCAGGTCGAATATCTCTATGAATCATTCGATGTTCATGTATTTTTCGAATTCCACTAGCAATATTCATTGCCATATCAAGTTTTCGTCGTAAAGATATTTTATCTCCTTTTTCTTGAATAAGATTTGAAAGACTTCCACGTGACATATATTCCATAATAAGCATATATCTTTTACCTTGACCATATCTAGATGCTGTAAATCCATAAGTTTTAAGAATATAAGCACCAGAAAGTTCAGCATAAGCAGCTATTTCTTTTAAAAAACTTTTTTCAAGTCTATCAGCATCATTTGATCTTGGTACATTAATTACTTTACATGCTACAGAACGTTTTTTTGATATCCATTTAGCTTTATATACCGAACCTAAAAAAAAACAAAAGACAAAACAGTGTTAAGTCAAAAATAATTTCATAAATATATTTTCTATGAAAAATTTCATACCAAATGCACCACTTCCTAATTCATCACCAAGTTCAATATCATCTACTGGAATTTGTTGAATAGCTTGACGTGGTATAACAATAAGTGGATGATTAGATGTATGTGTTTGAGTAGTAATCTTTTTTTCTAAACATGTTTGACATAAATCATAATTTGGACATGTATCACATTTGAAACGTAAACCTTTAATTGATTGAGATTTACATCCATCACAAGATATTGATTCATGTATATCATTACCATAAAATTCTTTAAGTTTAACTAATGTTACATCATCATCTGTTATAGATCGACCAAATAATTCACCAGGTGATTTAAAATGAACAAATGCATGTCCACTTTTATGATCTTCAGATTCTCTACGACGTTCAAAACATCGAGCACATAAACTTAATTTTTCACAATTTAAACATTTATATCTATCACTTCTAATTGGATAAGTACTACATGCTGCACAACGTACTTTATGAAATTCACTATTGTCATTATCATTTGAAGAATTGCCTGCAATAACTAATTGTAAAATTTTCATAAGTACAGCATTTCGAATGGTTGCTTCGTCTTGTTCATTTTTATTATTATTATCTAAAATTTTATTTATTGTTTTGTAATAAAGTAAATATTTGATAAATTCTTACTCGATTCTTCTTTTACATCGGCTAGAATATCGGATGCAGTTGAGGAAGCAGTTTGAAATTGTTCATTATTTGACATTTTTGATTGCTCTGTTTCTATAGAAAAAAAAAAAATATCAGTGAAATCAATACACAAAAATAAGATTATTATTTGAAAAAAAAGATTCGTCACTCTTTGCTGCTTCATTTGTAGATGTTCCTGGTCCCACATTGTACTGTAGTTGTTCACAATCTCGTTTTGTTCCTAAATAGATCTTTATTTGATAGTCTATTAGTCTTTCGAAATAGATTTACCTTTTAAGATGACAGTTCCTTTTCGATCTTTTCCATCTATATTGATATTATATGTTTCATAGAGAGTAATTGATGTCGATGGAGCTTTAATCTGTTTTTGAGGTACAATTTCAAAATTTTTCTTATCTGACCATCGAATCAAACAATACTGTTCTTCACTGTTATCTATCGGATCTGAAATAAAGAAAATTTATTAGGTTTCGATGAAAATTATCTTAAAAAAAAAAAGTCCTACTTGAATTCATAGCCGTTGATTTTTCCAAAAATCGGCGAAACATGTTTAGAAGATTCTAGGAAAATGTGTAATTGGTTATCTAAAACAAAAAAAAAAAAACAAAATTTTATTTCATGTAAATAATATTTTTATTTGTTTTTTTTTTTATACGTATAACAAAGTAAAAGTGAGTTTTTTTTTTAATTATAATACTTTAAATGGACAAGATTTATGAAGTAGCAGTTGTATATCTGTAAGATTAATCTAAATTCTATTACATAATATTCTTCAATATTTCTATTCATTGTCTACTAAAGAAAAAAGTTTTGTCTGTGGTCAGAGAACATAAAGGTTTTTCATGATCTAAATCAGCAAGTTTCTGACAGTTCTAACTCGAATCAATGTTTCGTAAAAATCAAAACAAATTACTATCATAATCTATCTTCTTTCTATTTAAAAACATGGATTTCGAAGTAGTTACACAAACTCAATTATCGAGTTTTCGAAAGGTGAATTGCATATTTTGCTAGTGAAGACATGATTAATGATTATTAGATTGTTGGTCATTGGTCTCAACTCTTTTATAAGATATCTTTTTCTACAAATGATCCAGATAGTATCTTTCCACAATCAATTATTATCCTGTGCGATTAAAGTAGAATTACAATATTAATGAAGTATAATAGTCTTATATAGAATCTTCTACCAAATTTCTACAAGTCGTTTACACATTACAAGATTTGATACTCGCTCTACGAAAAAGATACGTATTCACATGTAGTTATAAAAAGGTTTTCTATGAAATAGAACTCTAGATAAGCTTGATTGATTTTTCTAGTACTTTCAAACAAAAATCATCTATACATGATTAAATCACAACAGAGGCGACGCGAAGAGATCAGAACAGGGGGTAACGAAAAATCGGCTAATATTTTTCTCAAAGTTTATAAAATTTGTCCAATTATATTTTTCCAAAATCGGAGAAAACTGTTTAATAATCTCTCTAAATTAGGAGAAAATCTAAGTCAGAATTCTTAAAGCAGGGAGTATCCTCCCCCGCTCCTAAGTCCCAATGTGTAATAAACAAATTCGACAATCAAGTAAAATCTAATTAGGTTCGTTTGACATCTTACTTTGTTGTATTAAAGAATATATTTTTCAATTCAAAACAAGTTACTTTTCGTTTGAAAAAATAAAAAACAACAACAACATTCGTATCATTCTTTTATTGCAGTTTATAATACTTGTCGGTGAGACTATCATGGGACTTCTTATCTTATGATTTCGTGCAACACGTTTTTGATAGAGATGTCTACGTTGAATGGCTGTGTGATGAATAAAGAGTTGAAGTCGAAAGTTTTGATTTATTTCGCATCTGTAATTAAAAATAACTGAAAAAATATCAACTATGACTAATTGTGTTTTCTCTCAAGATTCTATACAATAGATTGCAATACACTATCTGTGACACAATGTAGACATGCACATCTTTATTCGAGAACAATAAAATCGAGGCTTAACATATTTAAACTATGAAAAATCAGTATACTCATCATAAATTCTTTGCATTGACACTTATCGATCTCAAATTGCTGCTTGAAATCAGGTTTTACAAAAACTCTATTTGTAATCAAAATATCAGACAAAAGAATTAAAATTTATCTGATTTTTACTCGATAACAAGACTTGGTCATACTAACAGCAAGGAACTATTCTGAAAGTACAAGTTTAATATATTTTCTCTTAAGACAATTGTATCACTATAACCTAAATGTTTCACTATTGTGTTTGAAACTATTTACATCTTATAATTATTTTTTTGTTATTGTTTATAACTATTCTCACATGTATATTAATACAAAAAAAAAAAAGAATCTTTTAGATCGTAGAAAAATTTGAAATACATTTATGATTTAAAATTTTTCATTTCTCAACATTTTGTCATTCAAAAAAAACTTAATGCATTGTAAATAACTCACAAATAATATTTTTCCGAGAAAAGAAAAAAAAAAAACGTCTACAATTATGAATTCGTATGAAAAAAAATATATTTCATTAAAAACAAAAATGCGAACATAAAAATATGTCACAAAAGGCTTTTAAAACTCTTTACTGCACATTGATCAAATAAAGAGTCTACGATAGTTTTCTTTTTCTTACTCAATATTGTTTACATCTTCAACTCTATAGTGTCAATCTATATTTATTCAACCATCATGTTACTCTTACTATTGTAAGAATCCTCTATTGTACCTTTAATACTTATGTTTTTTGAGAAGTCTGTAAGAAAAAAAAATTAGACATATATTAAAGATATGAATAATCAAAGCCAGCTTGTATTATTAATTAATTTTACTTCATTTGATATCATCAATCAATTTGATAATATTAACTATTTTATAATTATTAATTTCTAATGTAGAAAATGTCGTTACACTTGATCAACAAAAATACAAGTTGTACTGAAGTATATTTTACTATTGTATGATTCTAATATAGAATATCAAGTGTATATTAGTTAAAAACAAAGTAATGAATAGAGAGTGACGACAATGATAATTTAAATCCTTACTCGAATTATTCTTATTATAAAAAAAAACAAAAAAAAGTAATTAAAGATACTTTTGTCATTTGTTCTATGAGATAAATGAGCAAAAGTTTTACCTACATTAAAAAAAAACAAGATTATTATAACTTGTAGGATATATATATTTAATCAAAGAATCAAGTTCAATTTTAAAGTACGTATTTTTTTCTGCGAAAAAAAAAAGCCAAGACTAAAATAATCATCACAAAAAATGTAAGAAGCAATAATTTAAAAAAGACCTGTATATTTGTTTTGTAGACTTACATCATAAAGTATTTTAGATTTAGTAAATATTATTCATTTTACAATTTTTTTTTTTACATCAAAGGATCGATTGAATGGCATTCGAAAGTTTCTTTTTTGTCATTGAAAAATATGACTGAAGAATAGCATTTTTGTGTATTTACCAGAACGAAAAAAAACAAAAAATTAAACTTCTAAACATAATATTTTTGTTTACGAACATCATTTTTTTTTCGTTTTTTCTTTATTTAATATTGTTATTATTCTAAATAAGATATGGATTATTTTTCAAAAATTATAACTTAATCATTATGACAATTATAACAAATCACTACTTATTATCATTGACATATAGGAGTTAAAATAAAAAAAATTCTACTATTAACATTTGATGATATATATGAATTAGAAAATCATACTAAAAATATATCAGATATTTGAATATGAATATGATTTTTCTCCAGATTTCAAAAAGTTTCGTCTAGATGAATTCAAATAATTTTTTTTGCTTTTGTGAAAAATTTTATTTGATTAATATATTTTTTGTTCTATTCTATATTTTAATAAAAATCTTTATCTCTATTTCCAAAACAAATACGAAAAGCAAATAATTGTGGTACAATTGCTAAAATAATATTAAGACTAACACTAATTAACCAATATTCAGATGATATTGGTAACCATGATGAATCAGGAAATAATGGTGGATTATGTAAAGATGATAATAAATAAGAAAATTGTGCTTGAGCAGCAGCACCTGCATGTATCATAGTCCAATCAGGTAACCATTGAAATTTTGATTGTTGTTGATTATAGAATATTAATGCATTAATAGTTGAACAATAATATGGTATAAAATAAAATGCATATATTAAAAGTTGAATTAATGGAAAACCAGATTTATTTAATATATATGGTTCATAATTATAATAAATACTTTTATCTAACATTGGAACTTTTAAAGCATGTAATACACGAAAAATTGCAAATACAATAGCAAATAACATATATATAATAAAAAATATATCCCAATAACGATAAATTAATGATTTATTTATTTTTTTTCTTTCTTGTTGAATAAAATTTGAACGTAAATTAAATTGTCGTACCATAAAACTAATTGGAAAAATTGCATAAGGTATATTTAATAGATATGATGGTTTAATATGAATTCCATATTGACCAATTGCAGCACCACCAAGTAATACAATTAATGAATTAATTATTGAACCACACCAAAATAATGATAAAAAACGAAAAAATTTTGTTTCAATTTTTTGTTTTAACATACAATATAACATTATTAAATATAATGTATAATGTATTGTACCATCCCAATAATTAATATATAAACCATGAGAAGTTTTTAAATAAACTTCACCTTCATTTAAATAAAAATGAAATGCTGATGAATAATTATCAATTGTTAATGCTAATAAAAGATCAGCTATAGCTGTAAATGAAAATATTGTAAATATATAAAAATATATTTCTTTTTTTACATATAATAAATGTTTTATTAATAAAAAATATATTAATGGTGCAACTGATATACATATAATAGCACTATAAAGAAAAACATTCAAAGAATTTTTCATTTGTTTCATATAAGATAATATATAACATATGGGTATAGATAATAATGATACACCTATAATACCAATTATTATACGAATAGCTGATACAGATTCAATTGATTGCATTTCAATTTTATTATTTGTTAGATTTGATTGTGAATTAATATCATTTATAGTATGATTAGATATTTTAGAATTTTTCTTCTTTGATCGATACATTGTTTGAAATCTATTTGATATGATATTATTTAATAACTAAAAAAGAAAACAAGTTAAATATACATACAATACAATAAATATATTCTAATATTATTATTATCTTTTTTTAACTAGATCTAATTTTTATTGTTGTCATATGATATTTTATGAAATAAAAAGCATTTTTCTTTTTTTACATTTAATTGAGTAAGATGTTGAAAAGAAAAATGTAGTATAATTTTCAAAAGTAAATAGGTGAACGATTGGTTGATGTAGGTAACCAGTCTCAAATTATAAATCACAGGTAATATTACGAAAGAGGATGTCCATAAGTTTTTTTTTGTGCATTTATTTATTGTAGTAGTGGTAAATAAATATAATTTATTGCTCGAATCATTTTCGAAATTTGTAAACTCTGAAAACATTCGTACATTACTAATGTTATTTAAGATAGAAACATAATTAAATTGAATTTTTGAATACTATTAAAATTAAAATGTATTCATTTAGAAAATTGTGTATCATAGAAAGTATATATGAATAATCATATATTTTAACTATATTAATAGGTATAATGGATCTAATTGTAGAATTAATTGAATAGAAGTATCTCGAAAGTATTGACTAAGACATGTTTTATACTACATACGTGTCTTAACTAGATGACAGACATATTAATCTCTATAAAATAGGTATGACATCGTTTATAATGGATAAAGTAATAAATACATCGAGTCATTACTGCCACTGTCGCATAATATAAACCTCTATAAATAACATATTTCTATCAGACGCGTCGCTAGATACTTTATATTGATAAAAATGTATGTGCAAACAAAATCTCGATGATTTTGCAATAATAAAGACTTCCGCTTTCTGTAGGAAAAGCTACATATGATATAAAATCGAAATTTTTTTAAGACAAACTCAAATCTTTCAAATATATAAAATCACACGTTAAATTTTGCAAAGACTTTTATCAAAAATTTCTTTATTCTATAGAAATAATTTCAATATCAATAGAAAAGAAAATTATAGATCTTTCTCATTCTATGAAAATAAAAAAACAAATATCGATAGTTTCGCAGTGCGAAAAATTCTCTATTAACTACATTTATTAATGGAATGCTACTGGCTTGAATAACAGTGTCCAACTCTATACTATTGATAAGATGTCAGACTATTAGAAATTACCAAAAATTGGAAATATATTGTAGAAATCGGTTATCAGTTGGTTCCTTTTGAATGCTTGCTGACACATTCATCATTAAAGTTTTATGATTAGAAGTGTAAGCCGAGGGTCAAACGGCGGCGGCTGTTTTAATAGTCTAATTTTTTTTCCATGGCGGCGGCACCTATTATACTTTATGTTTTTTTACACCGGCAGCGGCTTTGACAACCAAAAAAAGACGTTTTCGCTCCTAAAATGCGAGAAAATGACTAATCACATATGTATCGATGTCAATGGCGGCGGTGCATCATACTATTATCAAAAATTTTTGCTCGTGGAGGCGGCGGCTGATTTTTGAAAAAAAATCGGGTGTGGATATGGATGGTTGTGGGTGTATGTCTGGGTGCAAGAACAAAAGACCGACACATCCACATCCACTCCGACACCCACACCCACATCCACTCCGACATCGACACCCACCCCAACACCTACCCACGCCCACACCCACACCACCCACACTCAGACCACCCACACCCACTCCGACACCCACACCCATACCCACACCTCACACCCACCCACACCCTGCCCTGTGGCGGTCTCTGGTTGTAACCGACGATGGTAGATGGTCGGTCCGTTTCGGTGAACGATTCCTTACCGACCTGTATTTTTTTGAGTTTTTGCGGGTGTTTCTCAAAAGAATCTGCAGAAGGGTGTTTTATTTTCGCAAATCAAACAATTTAAAATGATGTCAAAGAGTTTTTCAGTGTAGAAAGATGTACCAGGCTATTGTATTTAATCGAAATTCATCATTATATGCTTCTCACATTTTATCAACTCAGATTCATATCAATTTATATCATCAATATAAATTAGAATAATCATTTAACATCACAGTTATCATAGGTTTAGCCATATATTCCCTGTTGTTGATAGAATACATTTAGTGCAGACATGAAAGTTAACAAAGCAAATATAATGTGGGAAGTAGATTTAATACACAAGTAATAAATAACGTCCATTTCTTATGAACAGTTAATGAATGTGAAACGCTGATATGAAAATTGTAGTGCTACGAAGTTTTCTGTTCAGCATTACATACAAAGGGACGAAAAAGACTGACGTAAACAATTAGTGACAATTACCAAAAAAAGGACTCATATCATTATTGTGAAGATTAGGACGCAGATACAATTCATCGAAAGATGGATTTAACGAGTATAGAATCGCATAGACGAAGAATCAGTCATGCTATTATACCAGTCGATCGGTTCAACATGATCGCTTCTACGGATACCGGTACGATAAGAAAAAACCCTGCTAGTTCCAATTCTGTTGCAGATGGTTTTCAGTAGTGACTATCTGCCATTCAGTAACAAAATAAAATTTCATTAGTCGATTCTTCTGCACGATAATTATTTTATGTGTTGGAAAGAATCAGCCATGCTAATGAAGAAATCCGACAATCAATAACAGACTGCTAGGATTTCTCATATTTAAGATCGGAAGACTGCTGCTTCGTCTACTCATGGCAAAAAATATCGAAATTCAGGTATAAAACATGCGCTGGTATGCAATTATCAGTGTATATTTTATCATTCTAACAACATAGAACGTATAGAAAGACAAAAAAAAAGGAGAAAAGGCATTGAAAGAACGAAACATACACGAAGTCGAGCACGTTAGTGAGCAAGCCAGTCTACCTGATGAAAATGTTATGCTTCGTTGTTTCGTGTATACACACGCAAGTGGAAAAAAAAACCAAGTAATTTCGTCCACGATAAATAAAAGAGTAAAATCAATTGCAATCATACAAAACAAAACTCGCACGCTTCAGTATCACTTCGCACGTAAGTGTGTTTTATGCTCACCTTTATTAGACTAGGGACGAAGCGTGATCTATTTCTTTACTCTTTCAATGTATATTTTATTATGATTAACATTGGCAAACTGGAGGATTAGTGTTACCGACATCCTCGACATAGATGTTCACTACACTAATCCATCACTCCAGTAATATCTACTTTATATAGAACATGAGCTTATCTACAATAGATGGAACCAGCAAGAAGAGAGAAGTGAGAACATATGGAAGAGTAAAATAAAGGACAGAGTTAGCAGACGGATACCGCTAGTCTCATCAAGTCCTCATTATTAGTAAGTTATGCACTTGATTGGTGCCCGATAGTTCAGAACTTTTCTTTTTAGCGTATGAATTCGACTAGTTGTAATATTTGATAGCATGATGTTTGTTAGAAAAGCCATGAATTTGCAGCAAATTTCTCTTTTTGCACTACCATAATTACAGAAGTTTATCACTGAGCACTGAAATTTATTCAAAAAATATACTCTGTCGATATAACATATGATCTAATCAGTTAATTATGAAAAATTGTTTGCACTCAATGGAATCGAAGAAATACTTACCACAATTAGTTGTCGCTATCATTTTTTAGTAACTTATCAGTGTTTAAGACGGATCATTTGGCTCTATTGTCACTGTATCAATGGCACTCGATGAAGGAAAACACGTTATGCTGTCATATAGCTGGAGTAGCAGAGCTTTCGTTGTCAAAATTCGCGATATTCTAGTTGAAGACGGTATGAAAGTTTGGCTGGATATGGACGAAGGTATGGGAGCCGACAGTATCAACAGGTATGGATCTCAACACGACTGTCTTTTCTTTTATGTTCAAACTTGTTATATTTTCTCGGTTAGCATGGCTAAAGCAATAGAAAATGCAGCTGTTGTTTGTTGTTTTCTTACGCCAAGTTATCAGAAATCAATTAATTGTAAAACTGAAGTAGAATATGCCTATAACCGCAACATACCTATCATTGCATGTATAGTTGGTGATAAAAATGATAAGACATGGCAGCCCTCTGGCTGGTTGGGAATTATAATCGGTAGTTGCTATTATGTAGACTTTAAAGACGACTCTGACTCAAACGTTCGATTGAAAGCAAGAGAACTTATTGACATAATAAAAACACAATATGGACCCCAAATCGTTCAAAATGACAACGATTATCCTCGTGAAGCATTTCCTCCTTTACTACCTATAACAAGTACTCAAAATTTCAACGAAATTTTTCAAACTAAACTTGAATCTCATTCAATGAAAGATTTCAAAGTAAGCCATTAAAAACTATATAAAATAAACTAAAAAAAAAGATAAATCTTTTGTTTTTTTATATAGAATTATTTTCTTGAACATGCCAAATTAACAGAAAAAATCGAATGTGATGCAAATGTATTATTAACCGATGCTCATCTTTATGAATTAAGTCAATTCGATTGGCCTCATCTTGAAACAATTCGTATTCGTGCATGTCCTCATTTAACACCATTTGTTATGAATTATATTGAACAGATTTCTAAAAAACAAATTGATCGACAAATAAATGCTGTAAGATTTCTAAACAAACATTTTAATCTTTAGATCTATTAGCTATGAAAATTCTAAAACATCTATTAATTAATTATTCATTTTTTTTAGAATGTCGAATTAATGTTACACTCTCATAATACAATAGAAAATAAAAGCAATTCAATTGATAATACTATTGCCCAACTTGAACCATTCTTTGGAAAAGTAAAATTTTTCTATCCTTTTTGTTTTTTCAATTACTTTATTACAATATCACATTTGTATATTGAAGAGTAAAAAAATATCAATAATAAAAGTCTTAATTTATCATGCTAATACTCAAAATGATTCTATGTTATCATCAAAACATATGATTATAAATCAAATACAAAAATCAAAAGAAAATTCTTCTATGTTACTTAATTATTTATCATCAATACATGATGAATGTCAAGTAGCATTTCTTGAATGTGCCAGTGTAA